TATATATATATATATAAATAAATAATAATAATAATAATAATAGTGTAAAAATAAAATATAAAACGTTTATTAAAATATCTCACTTACCAAATAAATTCGCCGAAAAAAAAAAAAATAATTACCAAAATTTTATTATAAAAAAAAACAAAAATAATATTAATATTTCGTACAAAAAAAAAAAAAGAATATTTTCTTCACAAAACAAAAAACAAAAAACAAAAAATAAAATAAAATATACAAAGACAAAACCCAAAGAAGGAGGAAGATCCCATTATTTCGCATTTTTTTTTTTTTTTTTTCCTTTTATAATAAATCGCGGTAAAGATAAGGAAAATAAATGCAAAAAGTAAATACGTATGTATATTATTTTATCATCATCGATATGAATTTATCATAGTAATAATTTTCCTGTTTAAAGAGACAGTCATACGTCATTTATTCTTATCAAAACTCACATGTGACACATATGCCATTCCCATAAGTGTTTAGGCACGGCTGGTCGGAAGTCAGCAGTTCCTGCATTTAAGATCCTTGCGGTGAACCTCAATAGTCTTCTACTTTCAAAATGCCAATTATACGATTCCTTTTGAACCTTGTAAGCACTCGAGGCAACACAATTTTCTTCCATGGCACATTGTAACCAATAAAGTTGACGATCCTCCAAATATGCCGTTCTCATTAATTCAATATGATCAAAGATCAAATCTGGCATATCTCTTGAACACACTACACCTGCCACATTCTCCTTCACACCTATTTGTGAATAGGCTATTATCTATCTTTTTATAATTTTTTATTGTTTCTATTTTATATATATATTTATTAAAATTGATGTGGTAATATAATTTATTGAAATGTTATAGAACAAAATTTGTCAATGTTACTTGCATTATAAATTAGAATTAATTATGGTATATTTAAATATGGTAATGTTATACCATATATAAATATACCATAATTATAATATTATTAATAATATAAAATATATTAATATTACACTTTTAGTGGTATAACATTATATGATATATATATATATATAATTGTACCATATATTATTATACTAATTATGGAATATTTAAATATGGTAATGCTATACCATATATAAATATAATTATTAATATTATATATTATATAATATTAAATATAATATAAATATAATATATAATATTATAGCACACACACACAATAATGGTATTACATTACCATATATAAATATACCATAATTATAATATTATTAATAATATAAAATATATTATTGCTATAACATTATATGATATATATATAATTATACTATATAATATTATATTAATTATGGTATATTTATATATGGTAATATTATACCATATATAAATTTAATATTAATATTATATATATATATATATTAATTATAAATATAAATATTTTAGAAATAAAATATAATATAATATTGTACCATTAATGGTATTACATTACCAAATATACCATATATAAAAATACCATAATTATAATATTATTAATAATATAAAATATACTAATATTATAACATTATATGGTATATATAATTATACCATATATTATACCATTATAATAATAAATAATAACACATAAACCATATAATGTAATACCAAATTATACCATACAATGTCTAAATTAATATAAATAATATTATTTTTTCTATCAATTTGAAAACAAAACAATTATCTAATTATTATATTAAATATATATATATATATATATATATATATATTTATTTATTAAATAATATTAATTTTGATTAGAAATAATAATAATCGAAATAATGTATAATTTAGTAATAAAAATAGAAGTTAGTTACGTACCAGGACAATAAGGAATTTTATCGTACAAACATTCAGCGAGATTATTTTCGTCCCCATGACACCGTACACCACTAATCGCCATGGGTATAGTCTCGCCAACAAAATAGTTGCTTTGTGTAGCGTCGGAGGCGTAACCAAGTCCTAGTTGACGACAGACCACCCCTGCTTCGAATAGGGACCAGCCGTCGCCGCAAACGACACCCCAATCTGGAACGACAAACGCTTTTATGTATTTATGTGTACCTAACTGTGTACCTTATTCATCTTTTGATACACTTTCTCCACAATCTTTCTTTATTATATTGCCCAACAAATCATCTACACAATAATAATAATAATAATAATAAAAGAGAAAATGATATTATTAAGGATTATATTTATTTATATTTTTCATCATTTATTATAGTTATTATATATATATATATTTATAATTAAACGTTGGATTATTTGTTTTATTTCTAAATCAGACATTTTTATATTTAATTATTTTAATAATATTTTTATTATTATTATTATTAGTATTTTTTTATTTTAATTTTATTTTATGTATATTTTATTTTACATATATTTTATATTTTATTATTAATATTTTATTGTAATTTTATTTTATATTTATTTTATTTATTTATTTTATATTTTATTATTAATATTTTATTGTAATTTTATTTTATATATATATATTTTATTATACATATATTGTTATATTTTATTATCAATAATTTTGTAATTTTATTTTATGTATATTTTATTTATATATTTCATATTTTATTATTATTTTTTTCTTTCATTCCAAATAATGATTCCATTTTCGGGATACATGGGTTGCGTCGACACCATTTTAATATAATACTTATTATTATTCATATTTCATTAATATTAATATTTCTTGTAATAATAATTATTTTCATATTTCATTTATTATTAATAATATAGATTATTTTTGTATAAATTAATTATAATTAAATGAATTACCAGAAGTTCCAAGTTTAATTTCAAGTCTACCCTCATTATGACCCCGACCACCAGTCAATCTTAATGCAATGCCTTGTTGATGCACATCCTTGATCCTTGACTTTTCTTGTTTCTTTTTAAACGAGGATGATGATGATGATGATGATAATGATAATTTTTCTTCATCGTGAGAACATATAACACCGGCAGCTTCGTTACTATCACAATCAGAATTTCCCCAACCATCGAAACGACATTTGGAAAGTTCCTCTTCTGTACCATCGCAATAAATATTATCCATCCAATATCTTCCTAAAAGGATCCATTATCTTTGTTTTTTTTTTTTTTTAAACTTAAACGATTTTTACTATTCAACAAAATGATGTTTCAACAAAATGAGAAGAAAAAAATGTTCTCATTTTTTCCAAATAATTTATCCATTTTTTTTTTTTTTTTTTAAATGGCTTTAGTGTGTCAGACTAATCTCAGAATGGAAGAAATAAATCATCCTAAGATAAAAAAAAATAGTTATTTCGAAAAATCGTCTGAAAATGAGGAAAAATTGAAATAGAAAGAAAAGAAGAAGAATAACAGAGAAAAAGATAAGAAGAAAAATAATCGTAGGTTCGAGAAAGAATGTTAAAGAAAAAAAAAAACAAACAAAAAAGATGAGAGTAGAAAGAGGTTGGTAAAAGAGAAAAATAAAAATAATAAAAAATAAATGAAATAAAAAAAAAAAAAAAGAAATGATTCTTCTCACTTCTGGCTTGTCCGAAATGACCATTGGTCGTTGGTTTAATTGCACCGTCGAAGCCTAATTGTCTGCAAACCACATTGGCCTCCAAGTAATCCCACTCGTCGTCGCAAATACTGCCCCATTTACCCTCATGCAATATCTCTACATTTCCTGTGTAACAAACAAACAAATAAAATAGGATTAAAATAATCAAATTCATTCCATATTCCTGTAAACAATGTAAATTAAACTACGATGTAATAAAATTCAATGATATTTGAATTTGAACATTTTTACAAAGTGAATCTTTGATAAAAATTATATGAAAATATGTTGTTAATATTGCAGATATTATTATTAATTATTAGAAGTATTGCAAAAGTTTATTATGTTGGTAATAAATTTAGAAATTTTGTTAGTTTCGATTAAATATGAAAAATGTTAAATATTTGGTAATTGTGAATAACATTTTGGTTTATTAGGTATAAGTATTAGGTATATATAGGTAAGTTGGTATATATATATATATATATATATATATAT